ACAAACCATTCAGATTATAGTATTCGGGGCCTCAAGCCCTTTTATTTGGTTTCTTGGAACCCTTAGGGCAAGTACTACAAAGTCCCCATATACGGCCTGAAGCTATGCATTGCTGGGCTGCGCCGGCAAGTTTACGCCGAACAACAGAAAAGTCTTCCAACGCCTGCCTGGGGGTTGGGGTCAGAGTTTCGGGTTGTCAGAATTTCGGGTTTTTGTGTGATTCTTTTTCGGGTTTGCAACTCTATGAATCGTATCTACTGACTGGTAAGCTTCCGAACTTTGGCAGCATAAATACCAAAACGCAAGCCCTGAGCCCCTAAACCCTTAAACATACTCAAAGCCCCGACTCCCGGGGCCGACGTACCGCGTACCTAACAACAAGGACTTTCATTTAGATCCCAAACACTTTTATTTGAATGGTCTTTGGTACCGTCTTTCCCATTAGGGTTATTTAGATCCCGGCAAAGCCCCGAATGTCTGCCGCCAGCCTCAGTGTTGAGGCTCTCGTCACCCTGACAATCCAGGAGGCAGGAAGTTGGGGGTTCAGGGCTCAGGGGTTTAGGTTTGAGGGTCAATGGGGTGTTTCAGAAAGGTTTTTCGAGCCTCGGGCCTCAGACCTTCTCGCAAGATAACGATGGCCTGCGCCTCACCAACACAAGCTAAAAACAAGCTCCTCTGAGTCAGAAAGCTTATTGGTTGAGGTGGGCTGTTCGCCATGTGCCGGCTTTTCCCAAAACTGCGATCTTACTGGTTCAGGTGCGGCGTCTTGGGGATGGCGCCAGTCAGGAGCTTCATCTAAGTGTGCTCTGAGCATTTCTACAATGATGTCAAAAGTAACAAGGACCCAAAGCGGGCATGACCATGTGCCTCAGCAGTCTCACCGCAACCGGCCACAAATGTCCACTGGGTCCGGCGTCATCTAGCCTTTGCTTGGAGACCCGGGGACCCACAACATCCCAAATAATATCCATACAACATGACGGTTCGGTAGTAGGAACTAGTGTAGCGTGACTTGGGTCAGTATGCACCATCTATGTCCAGGGAGGGCAACGGAATTAAGGCAGCATTGTTGGGATGTTAAGAGGGATTCCAGGACTCCGTTCCTCTATTCCCCACTACTCACCAGGAAGCTGAAGGCCCATGCTTCGGCTTCAATGCAATGCAGACCTGTTTGCTGGTTACGAGTAACACATGAAGGAATGGGTCCCTACAGCAGCAAGTATGTGAATTTCCTGCAATAGTTTGCATGTTGCTTTCCCTCTATAATTCCCTACGAGCAAGCAGCACGTCTAGACAGCAGGCGACGCAGGCCATCATACCGCAGCTGGTGGGGCGCCTGAAGAAAGTGTCAAGCATTTAAGGAAATAAGCGGGAAGTACCCCACATAATTAGGTATTGGCACATGTTGTGTCACTGATGAGGTTAGACAAAATTTTATTTGGCTGTTGACAGAGTCTGAATGGCCCTTCCTATGGGTCTTGGGCCAATACCCTGATGATAGAAGGACCCAAATAATATGGTTTTCGGGCCCATAGTATTTTGGTCCTAACACTCCATTATTTGCGTCCTTGGACCCTTAGAATATCCTACCTTCTTTCCGGGTCCAGGTACGACTTTGAGGTCTGTCAGGCGGACGCAGACAAGCAAGAGAGCAACCGTAGGATCAATCTGCACTCTTCGAGAATTATAGGGCCTAGGTCTTTAGGCTTTAGGGGCTGGCACTGAATACCCAAAGAGGTATGTCTCAAAAGAGGGGTCCCATAATGACTCCCCACATGTTAGGACCCTAGGATGATCCTTTGCATAAGGACCGCCAGAAACAACGCGGTTATTCTTCTACATGCTTTTGGCGGCCCAGTATCCCCAGAGGAAGCATAGCTTTTTCAAAGATCTTTCCCCACTGTCTCTGTCAAACAAACGGCCCCGCTGATTTAGTCATCTATCCTGAAACCCTAAACCCCTAAATCCTAAACCCTGCAGACCTTAGAAGTGACAGCTGCCATGTACTCTCTGTGTCCCTAGCTCCTCTCGTGCTCTTCTCAAGTTGCTGCCGGCAAGCTGAAAACAAAACGGGATGTCCAGAAATGCATACCTGACTTCCTGCATCTGGTGCCTCAAAAGGGCCCATGCCGCCTTTGACGAAACGGATTACGCGATTTAGGGTTAAGGGTGTAGGGTTTAGGGTTTAGGGTTTGGGGGGAAGGGAAATATAGAGAGGGGCTTGTGTTCCCTGCAGAAACTTAGTGTAGCCCGCATGATGTTTCTGAAGATCTGAGGTCCATCAGTCATGTGACAAGTGTTGAGTGTGGCTAAGGTGGACCACATGATCGAGAGGTTAGCACAGACCATGGATTTCTCAGAGCTGCGGGACCAGCCGTGGCCTAATCAGTTTCATTGCTGTGCATTGCCCGTGTGTTTCAGGACCCATCCCATGGGATCCTCCGAATAGCTGCTAGCTGCGTATGAAAAGTACATGTCATCTTAAAGCAAATACAAGTACATGTTTATTTGTGCACTTGCGGCATGCCTGGAAACTAGTCCAGGCGAGGGTTTGGGGATAGGGGCCAGAGAATATGCCAGAGGTCAGAGACCATGGGTCAGGGCTGAGTAGTGGCTTGGCCCAAAGCCCCAATGATCAAGCATTACTACGGATCCAGATGTTGATAGGTCCCAAGTCTGTCTTGGGGGCCAGTGTATATAGAATCATAAGAAAACTCTTGTCGTTCGTTGCCTATAACATCCATAGTCAGACCATTACTGAGGCAGTTCCCCCGGGCCAGCCTTCTTGTTCACGTCATGCCTTGTATTCTCTCCGCGATATACTTGGCCAAAAGGTCATATAGGGGACTACATAAGGAACTATTATAGGGGTTACTAAACGGGATACTATAGAAGTTTAGGCCACAGCTCAGATGTAGGAATTCTTTGTGGGTCTGGTTCGCCGGGGAATGGTCAGAAGCCAAGCTTTGGAAGCTGCCCAGTCAGTCAGGAGCTTCAACTTGGCCCCTTTACCATCTTAGCCATTAGCGCGTTTACGGCTTTAGGGTCTCAAACGTACATCCCCTTAACCCTCCCCCACCCCGTCTGAGATTAGAGCCTTCCACCATTGAAACTCTGGCTAGAGGTGGCTGATTGTCTCCAAGATGTATTGTTTATGCACATGGGTGGTTGTCCAAATTATGGTCCCCTTTTGGGTACCCTAAATATTAGGTGCCGTATTACAATAGGGATCCAAAAGGGGACCATAATTTTGACAACCACCCACATACACATCCTGGGCTCATTGTGGTTGCAGCCTTCAGAGGTCTCCAGGGTTGTAAGCTTGATTGTCCCAGCTGTGTCTTCGTTCAAAGCCCTAAACAAGGCCTGCCCTAAGCATAAACATAGCCCTAGGGATCCAAATGGCCCTAGTAGGGTTTGGGTTTCGGGTTCTACCCTAGGGAGCCACACAGTCCAATTAGGGCTTTATAAGGTTCAGGGTTCCACCCTAGGAATCCAAATAGCCAATGTATTACCCTAATGATGGAGGTGTATAGGGATCCGCATAGCCCAACGTAGTTAATATTTACAGACATATACCTGTATCCCTAAGCCAGGCTCTCTTGAACCGTAATCTTCCAAAAGTCTTGTGGCCATCTGGCAAGGGGGCTATAAGCCTTGAGTATGCTCTCTGATTACTATAAAATTTCTGCAGAGGTATCTCATCTTAGGGAGCTCTGATGCCTCAATCCTTTGAACCCTGAACCCTTGTAAAAAACAGCATACCCCCTTGGCCTGATACACGAATTTTCCCGGCATGGTATACCATCAACAGGGGGTCAGGGGATTCGTTCAATTGTGCAGAGGCTGATAGAATCCTTCAGTGCTTCCACGGACCTTCTCCCTGTGGTGGACGAGAGATCTGAGGCCACCCGTGCAGAGTCTTCCATTGCCCCATAACGGTAATAGTAATAGAAACAGCAAGAGCAACCGTAGCAGTAGTGGCTATAGTACGAATTGTGGGACTCATAACCATGGCAAAAAGAGTTTGGGGTGCAGAGGTTCAAAAACCTTGCCCGTCTCAGTATTTGGGTAGGTTGGGGGGCCCTACAGGCAGAATAGGTCTTTATATAGGGGGTGTAGAGAGACCCGTTAAGGAATGTGCTAGATCTTTAGTCCAGGCATCATATTATGACATATGTCTGAGTTAATTCGCTGGTGAATGCTAGAGTCCCTGCGTAGTTGGGCTCTGGGTTATTGTGCAGGTCATCCGGCGGATGTTGAGACGCAGAGCTTTGCCAGTGTTCCCCAAACTTGTAGAGCATATTCAACCCTAGAAGCCCAGGTACCCATATAGTAGGTTCTTGGGTTTTAGGTAGTATAAGTTTATATAGGGACCCAAGGACAGGAACCCAATATGTAGGTAACTGGGCTTCTAGGGCAAGACACACACTGAAATCGGTGCATTCGGGGCTTCGAGGTTCTGGTTGCTTGAAGGCTTGCGGATGGCAGTGCCTAACTAGGGTTTTGCAACGCCACTGATTTTCCACGTATCCACTACCCAGGACAAAACACCCTAAACCCCCCACCCTAAACCCTAGAGCCTCACCTCCACCCCCTAATAACACATGTTCCTAATATCTTGCCAGTACAAGTTGGCCGCGGCATCTCTTTCTTTGTTGGACTTGCTGTTTCCGAAGCTTAGCAGTCCGGGGGCTATCCTGAATGTCCCAGTACCTACCTGTAACGCCAACTACCTAGAGTTGTTGTGGGGCACACCTACCAATTAAGGGTTAATTCCAACCCAAAAAGTGGACCGTTATACCATACCTTCTTTGTAGATAACCTGATTCTGTAGCCAGAGGATAGTATATAGGAATCAAGTTATGTCGGTACCGTAAAAGAGGATACAGCAGAATGGCCTAAGTAGAGGCAAAACCCTGGCGAGACGCTCCTCAAGCGCTTAGCCTTCAACAACATGTAGTCTTTGGACCCCGGCTCTAGCGACAAGCAATCAAACAATACGAGATGATAGGGTTTAACAGGGAAACCCCTGTGAGGTGGTCTTAAACTGGCGCTTGTGGAGTCCCCTCACAATGCTGCCGGGACTTGTGGAGCTCGGTGCATGCAAGATTCCCATGCAATGCCCTCTGAAATCTCTAAACTCCAAGGCCCGACACCGCCGCCCCTAATCATCACATGATGTCGACTATAGATGGCTCAAGACGGTTTATACTGCAACCAGCAACTCCTACAGAAGACCAGCATCGTAATGGATGATATCTGATAGCACGGGTAAATTCTGCTGCGTTAACATAGAATTTGATCACTGCCAGCTCCGGACCCACTACTAATCGCTATGTCGCCCCATGAAGCAGAGAGTAGCTCTGAATCAACGCTTTGCGAAGAGGAAGCCCGTCCTACCAACCGTGTTCGTTCTTTTTCAGTGCATACAGACGACGGTGCCCAGGCGCATACAGTAGTCCTGGATGAATACCAAGAGCTGCACAATGACGATCGCATCTTTGAGGTTCGCCATTTGGCTTTCGGGCATCTAACAGCCAAGCTTGCAAAGAAGCTTACAGTATGGCTCCTGGAAGGCCACTGGACAATGCAATGCATTTCTTTGTTTGCCGGTGGATTTCTCACGCATTTGTATGCTTACTCGGGCCCCAAGGTTGGTGGAGACCTTGCCCAAGCAACTCTCATCACACTATGTGGCCACCTAGCACCGCCCCTGACGGGACCTTTTGCCTTTGGTGCTTTTACTGGCGTTCTATCGCCAAATCTTGCTCCAGATCTTTACTGGCTCGCCCTTCTGCTCCTTGTTGGCTGCATTATTTGGCGATTGGTTTCCTACTTCAAAGTCTTTGTTGGCTTCGGGGGCCGTGTAGGTTTTAGTGCATTCTGCTCGTGCTATCTGGTGCAGGCTGCGGTACTCATGCCTGCTGGTGTGGTCCAGTACAACACAGTGAACCTTTTGGTTGACATGCTCTTTGATGGTGCGAAAGTGGACTCTGTGCGCGTTGAGTATGAACGGCGCGTGTGGCAAGATGACGTGATTTCTCTCTTGGCACCAGTTTGGGGAGCGGTGCTGGCCAATGTTCTGCGCAGCTTTGGTGCTAGCCTGGAGAATCCCATCACTGGTGCAACATGTGGATCACTGCTCACATTCTTAGTGCTTTCCATAAGCGGCTGGGGCTATGCGCCCGTGGCAATGAATGGTGTTGCAGTTGGCTCTTTTGTTGGCATGGCCTCCTTTGAGTATCTCCCAACAACGCTCAGCTTCGCAATAAGTGGACTACTTGCTGGTGGCTTCGTGCTTGCCCTGGAGCCCTACTGTGAGGGCTGGAGCGGTAAGCAGGGACTCTGTTCCTGGGTTGCTGTTAAGGAA